CTACGGCCAGATGTGGCCCGTTAGGCCTCTCAATCCGACCCGCAGAGACAATTAAGAAAAAAATAATAATATTATTAAACAAAATAAACTTTGTGCAGAAAGTTCACGTTATGACGCAAGCCAACTAGCAAGAGTTTTATTAAAATATTCGCTCTTTCACCAGAGGTATACGGTTCGTCGGACCTCAACATGCTGAATAAATGTTCATGTGGCCCTCTGGCTGTAAAGTTTGGAGACCCCTGTGTTAGATAATATTTGCATTATAAATGTTAAAAATCCTTTGTTAAAATTATTCAATATGTTGGCCATGAGGTAATTGGCAGTTTGCACATGTTAAGAATAGATTGGTATTTGATATTTTTCAAAATTTAAAGCAAGTTTAGTAAGAATTTAAAAGCCGTGCATCAGTGATTTTTGATATTTACAATAATATGAACAGCCTTTACAATGGCAACTTTCTATTGTCAGCCAATTTAAATGTTTGAACGAGGCTATCACTCAATTTTTTTTGCAGTGTGTCGTTCTCTGCTAATGTAAACCATATGTTGAAGACGTTCTTCAGACATGGACGCTCGAAGGTGGCTGTTTATAATTACAACTTTGCTGTGTGCCTGTTCACAGGAAGCAACAATGTCAGGATGAGTAGCAACAATTTTTATAACGCCATAGACTTTAGGATACAAGTTACTTATTGAATATTCTCCAGAAACTTTTACAAGAGTTGGCAAGCAAAGCCAAGTATTGGGAGATTTCATCAAGGGTTTATTGTTTGCTATCTCTTTCATTTTAAGAAATTCTTTGTACTTCTCTTTCCAGACCTTTTCACAAAACTTAGAAAACAATATAAACTGATTTACAACAATATCTGGATCAATTCCGTAGAATTGAGGCAACCTTTGAGCTTGGTGCGACATTTCTTCCGTAAAATATTTGTGATGAAAAACGCTGGCCGGCGACAATATTTCACACGCTTTAGAAGAAAATTTTCTCTCTCGCTCGCTTTGCATCCAGTCCAAAAATGGGGAAAAAAAAGCCCTTGAAGAGATCTCTTGGGAGGCCATTACCAGGCATTTCTTTTTGGATTCCTTAGGCGTCTTGATCTAAAAAGAATATACCATTGTTGATAAAAAGGTACGGTGTGCCGACGCTTTCGTCTCTTTGGATTTTGCTGATCCCCTTGTTTGAAATCTTCAACATCAAATAATTGGTCTGTGCAACATTTCCTTGCTTCCTATAAAAACTTATCGATGTTTTCTTCGTTTCGAAGCTAACACAAAGATTCTTTCAGGGATTGTACACCTGACACTGCTGAAAATAAATCCATGTTTTTCTGTTTAAGATATTCTAAAATCGTTTTACTAATAGCACTTTTTCAAGACAATAAAAGAAGCAATCAACTTGAGTTTTTACATACGTACAAGCAGTCCCTGCGCAGCTGATTCATCCTCATCAGACATATCTTTAAGCATAGATGGGATGGCAGGCAAGGTGTTGAAAACCACCACCATAACGATAGACGGAACCAATAATATTAAATACGTCATTCACAGAAGGCACGTTCCTGACACTTTTCTACTAGACATGGAATAGCTTATGCCCAAAACAATGGAAATATACTGATTTCTTTTTTATTTAGCTGTCCAAGGCGATAGTTTTTTGATTTCCAGCAATTTGATTGGCTGCCTGAGCGGGCAGCATTTTACGATATCTGCCCGTGGGCAGAAACAACATTTTTTCGCAATGAATTTGTTTACGAAGTGAAATGTAAATTTTTAAAATTGATTCAAAAGCAATGTAGATTGATGAACGAGTAGGCAAAGCGTATTCAGATGAAAGTTTTCATAGCAAGGGTGAATTTTACTATCCAGAAGAAGCAAAGTTTGTAGAAAACAATCCAATTATAGTCTCATCCTGACTTCCTGTTTAAGCTGACGAATCGGTAGTACTTCATTTTTTATTGTTTAGTTTTTATATTATCAAATATTTTTTTGATTGAATTAAAAATTCCAGTGAATTGTGTCCATTCACCTCTCCCCCTCACCCGTAAACACCCCTGTTGTTAAACACGTGTATACGTTCTACTTGACAAAATCGAAACATGATTCTACATACTTTTTTCTACAACAGAGCAGTTATTGAGTAATATGTTAAAACTGTAATTACTGAATTGTCCAGCATGGGCACTTGGAATGTGTATGTCTGATATTATCATCCAAGTCAGTTTATCATTAATGGTGTACACAAAGTGTGTGAACATGGTGTTATTTCCACGGACAATGGGCAGTACGTAACAATTTTCTAAGCTGTAGGTCATTTGAGATGCCTGTGAATTGTAAGAATTAAAGACACCATAACTTGAAATGACATTGGTTATGGATAGCAGTTTTGGATCAAGAACACTCATCAACGACATTTCTGTCATAAATGCTTTCTTACTCACAGTCTGTTTTAATTGAACCGTGCTTTCTTTAGCCATCATCCAAAAGTCTCCTTGTGAGCAACGGGGATACTTCATGTATTTGGAGAGAAAATAGACAAAATAGCCAAGATACTCTTCTGGTGCCTTTGGATCACCGTACGATCGATTATTTAACGGATAAAAGGTTTCCAACTTCGTTTTCTCTTCATCTTTTTCACCAATCAAGTTGTAGAACGCCAGATGTACAACAGCTGTTATTGCTCCAGTAACCGTACAGCCATTAGCTCTGCAGGCATCAACAATCGACTTCGTTTCCTCCATAGAAAATGCTTTTAAATTTAGACATGGTTGTGATTCTGGGCGTATTTCTGCAGACTGAAGATGTGGGTATCGTAAGTAATATGGATTGATAGCCTTCTTTTTGAGTACGTAAGAAATCATTTTTCCCAACAAAAAATCTAATACCGGTCGAAGTCCGAAAATAGTAACCATTGATCGAAATATAGAATGACCAATTTTTTTTTGGGTGACAAGATCGTGACCACTGGGCAGTAACGGAAAACTTATCGTGTGCATGTCGGCATTGGTGACACGACTCGATATCTCATTCATGCAGTTCATAAACTGTTCAACAAACTTAACAGCAGATACACCATCCAAACACGCATGTTTTAGAGAGAACAATATCATGTTTGAATACTCTTGTGATGTTGCATCAAATTCTTCCTGAAGTACGACAGCTTTCAATGGCAAGATAAATTTATGAACATTTGAAGTATGCTTGTATATTAATTCTTGCCATTCAGAAATCTTAGCATCAGATTTCGAGATGTCAAATAGCGGAACAGTTTCCTCAATGCTTTTGACGTCAAAGTACTGTTGGCCGTCAGCCTTGGTATATATTACAGCTCGTAGCATTGGCTGACGTTTAACTAACACAACTAAAGTATCATGAATATGTTGAACGGGAAGGCTTTCCCTCGACTTAAGAGATATAACGCAAGCAATATTTCCAACACCATTTAATGAATATGATAACTGTTCACTCACATTTTCTAGAAAATCAAGCCGTCTGCTTTTACCGTTTCGAATCTCAGGTTCTTTTAAAGTTAGGTACTTCAGGATCTTCCAGGTCAGAAAAAGACAGCACATTAGTAAAGGAATTTGCATTAACAAACTGCTAAACACCGTTAGTAAAGCCATATTCGAAATGAAGTATTTCTCTATGCAGCGCTGCCGATGTTCAATGTCTCAATAAAATGCGTGAAAGATTACACTTACACTTGTGAATGTCATAGCAAAGAATAGATATATACAGAAGCGCCACTCGATGTCGGAACCTTTGATGCTCGTGTCCCCAGCATCCGGGCAACTTTTGACGGCGGCCATGTTTCCAGCCAGATCACAATATAATATAAAGTTCTACTGACTGGTTTTGGCAAATAAACCCAAATATTTCTATAGATTGGCCATTTTTAATATTTTTTTGTGTGGATACAGTTAACACATCAAGCTCTCAACAATTTATCATTAATTCGACGTCCGTTTTGATAAATGAGGGTTTATTCGGAATATTTACAAAGTAGATATGTATCTGACGAGATGCGTACTCGGTATATGGTTTGTCGTCAGTTTTAATTTTATCATATAAGAATTCTGCAGAGAATCTTGAAGACATTTGTTCTAACATTTGAAATCTCGGTCGTGGCTGAAACAAGTGACAAATCAAATTATCCTCCAGTTAGTTTATATATTGCAAACAACGTTTGGCAGGACATTCGAATCACCAAAATTGTCTACCCAGGTGTTTTAAACTATCAGAAGCGATGCTGCATGGCCACTATGAAAGTCATCTGATGCCAAAATATTTTGTATTCATCACAGTTGTGACTTGTGAAGCTTGAATGACTTTTTGAGCAAGTTGGAACATAAGCAGCAGCATGTTGGCCTCCACCAATAAAGTGCTTGAATAGCAATTTATAAAACATATACTGTCATATGGTCCACATGACTTAACTTTATTTCTGCCTTTTTAAATTCAATCAGGAGATTATTTATATATTTGACATGGATGCTTATTGATGATTTGAGAAGTGAACATAAAAAAGCTTCCTGAATGCTTTTCTGAATTGGATTTGTGTTGGCTTGGAACAGTTCCCCCCTGTCAAATGTTTTAAAAAAGTTTTCTGGTGTATCTGTGTTTCACCTTTTGGTAAACATTTTACTGTGTAAAGTATTACGATTGCATTAAGAGTAACTATAACTGGTTTTTGTCAGAATAAGTTCTGTTTGTGACATGATTACTTACAATAAAAATTTTAATTTACTGAATGAAGTTTATGGATTTTAGCAAAAATTAAATTTTCGAGCCCTTTGTTGCAATAATTTTTCTCTGCTGGTTGATCAATGCGGTGAATCAAACATAATTCTAATCATTTTTCACATATAATTGTTGGTCACAACTCACAAGTGAAGTTTAACCAAAGAGGTAAGCTGTAGGAGCTTGACAATATGTTTGACATAATGGTAAAGTTGTTAATTTAATTGTAACAATTTATCAATAACTTCATTCTTTAAAAAATTGTAATTTCATATATTGTTTATTAAAAATAAGACAACAAAAAACATCTTTATTTGTAAGTTAATATAAATTTGACAGACATGATAGCCACAGGAACTCAATATACAATTACAAATAAAAACTTTCAATTACAATTATGCAGACAAGCTACATTGCAAATAAAAAGCCCCGATTCAAGAATCAAATATAAATTAGTTTAGTCCAAATTTTATACTAATAACGTCTTCATCTGAAGAACGTTCTTTACGCACAGTAGGTCGTTTTATCGCTTCTATCAAATCCGTTGACCATTCTAATAGGAAACTCTTTACTAGAAAATACAGAAATGGAATCACACTAAATGTATTTATTACTTTTGTCCTAAATTATAAATTCTTAGGGCCACTGCCGTTCAATATAAGAGACGTTCTAAACATGGATCTCACATACAGTTCAAGGCAAGAAACTATAAAACCCGTAAAAATATATTTGACGAACGTATTTTACAACAAAACTGTTTCTCACCTCATATGCTTGGTATCCTATCCGATGGCATTAAAAATTTTGTCCATAAGTGAATTTAAATTCGTCAAATTTTCGAAAAACAACTCTTCATAATATTAATCTATATACATTCTGGCCAGTTTATCTGGCTGGAGTAATGGCGGACGCAAAAGATGCGCACTTAAGAGCTGGGTACAAGAAGGGGACAGATTTTTCGCTGAGTGGCGCTTCTGTATATATCTATTCTGTGGTCATAGGTTAATTCAAGTGTCATATCACAGACCGACACGGAAGTTTAGTAGACTCCACAGTCTACTATTAGTTTGCATCGATTGCATGTACGATCTGTCATCAACTGCAACCCAATCATGAATAACTTTGTAAAAGAGTTTGGTAAGCTTTTTATTTTTAATACAGAACGAACTTTCACACGCATTATTTTTTTAATTTTACGGGAAAAAATTGCTTGCACGAGCTAAGAATACGTACGCGATTGCGTACATGTGTCTAGGTTTTTTTATGACATTTTGAACTATTTATGTTGCAGGTAATATTAAACAATTACTGAATAACGTTGAATAGAGTATCGAGATATATGAAGGTCGAGCTGGTGGATCACTGAAAATACAATCTTGTGTACTGTTTTTGAGAAGCCTTCTGTCACTAACATTTGCATTGCAGATATTTCTGGGTACTTGATCTTAACTCTTTTTATACTCATTATCATTTTTGTTTTTTTGAATGGTATTTGGTTTGGCATTTATTTTTTCTGATGCAGTTCAGCCTTTGCTTAATTATGTTCATGGACAGCTATTATCTAAGTCACCTAACTAGAATTCATCAAATATGAATGCTTCTTCTAAATCTTTTCTATGATTGGATCACTATTTTGGGGGTAACCAAACAGCAGCTTGGAAAACCTTGTTTGGCCTTATTTTTAAAGACAATGTTGAACTCTTTTATTGTCTATTTACTCTTTAATTTCTCTTTAATTTTATCTGTTTCTTATACTTTCGACACAAGTTACAGTTACACTATGTTTACATAACAATTGATTACAACATTAAATAAAGGTTACGGTGTCCATTGTAACACGGCACAATGAAATTAGGCAATCTTTTTTTGAAGTGTTTCTCTGTTCGTAATAGCAACTTGTGATGCTATTTTATGATTTTTTGACACTAACTGTGTTGATATTTCTCAATTGTCAAACTATATATTGGCACCTTTCAGTGAATAAATGGCTAATTGTCCAATATCATTCAAAAAGAATTTGCTGTATTCTAATTTGTAAATTTTAAAATCGATTGATACAATTTCTAGCACTTCAGCAGAAAGTCTTAGCGTAACCTAGGGAAAGTGCCCCAATTTCCCATTGAGTATAAAATATCTGAGCCGTTGAACGAAACCTTAGCTTAAGAGTCAGTCAGTGGCTCCCCCTGTCTTCTGTATGTCACGTAAGCAAAGTAAGATTTATGATACTTTTGTAAATGGAGAAAGTATGGCGGCCGTCAAATGAAGACTGATGAAGACACTTTACGAGCGAATTTTAATTGCGTTCGACAAAGTTTCATTGAGTTGACAGGTATGTTGAAAGATTTTGTTTAATATATGGAAGATGGTGATAATTTCTCCACAGTAATATAGTTAAGATGTAGTTGCTTCCAGGGGGGGATCCAGCTATACTAAACACCTGCAGAAAATTTTGTCTTACAAAAAATTTTCTTTCACTTTTAATGATCAGCAAACAGTAACGTAAATCTATTATTCCAAAAATTTGCATTTAGAGTAAATACACCTCAACATTTTACTAAACACCAACCTACTGTACATATTTTTGTAAACTAGGTGTTTTTAGTAAAACTTAATTGGCTTATTGTCTGGAAAAGCTTTATTTGATTTGTCATCTAAGCAAGAAGACTAACAGAGAAACTGACATATTATATTCAAATTTCATTGACAGTCACATTAATAAGAAAGGGAAGTGGAACACAGTTAGAAAGACAGCTATTGTATTTTTCACCAGAAATTAACAGTTTTCTACTAATTAAACTTTTAAAAAGAATGCTCCATTAGGGTATTGAACAGATATAAAATTAAATTTTAAAATTATAATAGTAGCATTTCTAATGAATTTTAGGGCAAAAACATATGGGATTACTCACAAAGATAATGTATCAATCCGTTAACTACCTTTGCTTTACAATTGCACAAATTATCTTTTATTTTTGACAACTGCCATCAGCTTATTGAAACTGTTAGTATTTAGTTGCATATGCCATTACCATGTAGAGTATTCTAATAAAGAATTTTCTTGATATGTTAATGTTTTGTTTGATGCTTCAATAGTTTGGTTTTACTAATCACAAAATAAATTTGCTATGGTAGCTTGATATTAGTCAACTTATGAGATTAACAATAAATGACTATGTTTTGGTTGTTTGAGTAATTCAACGTCACATCTCCAAATGATATCAATTTTTTAAAATATATTCATACATATGCAGCGGGTATGAATTCATACTGCAAAATAATCTATGAATATAAAGTCAAAATAAATCCCATTTTCAATTATTGTTCATTGACAACAAACTCCTTTGAATCCATCGAATAGAGCAACAATGTAAAATTTGAGATTTTGTTTAAAAGACTTTCATTTATATTGTGATGAGTTAATACTTCCTACCTTAGTGTAGCATATACGGTGGCCCTGAAGGGACATCACTCTATTAGAAAATGAGACACTTTTATTAAAAAAGCTTAGTCGCTCTCACCAAAACTGATCACAATATCGTTCATAATTGCCTTTAAACTATGCGTGCGCGCGTGTTTGGTTAGGAGACTAAGGCGAAAAAATCATAGTTATTTATGTCAGAATAACAAATTTACTAAAGTGAAACCATACAATTTATGGTGAAACTACGGAAGTTAAGTAAATAAATTCATAAGAATTTCTGTTCATATCGCTGTTTCATTCGTAGTGAAATGTCTCAAAAATTTAAGGATGAAATCAGAAATGACGCAAGAGAAGAAATCTCAAAATGTCTGCAAAATACATCGGTTAATTTACAATAAAAAACTCAATCCTCGAGTCCTTCTTCCGACGCTGGTGTAGGTGCTCGTCCGTCAAATGAGGCTTCGGAATCTCAAAATACCATGAGCTTTAAAGAATTTCATCGGATAAGAAAAGCAAGAAGACAAGAAGATTTCAAGCCTTCGAAAAAAAGAGACGAATTGATGACAAGCAAGCTTCTGGCGCAAAAGATGAGTTTCGTATAAGTTCCGTATAGGCTCGAAATCTTTGGAAAACTCAGTGCAATTGCCTAATTAAATGGTTGCCCAGGACAACATTTTTTCTGTCCCTCACTTGCAGCTTATATTTTTGGTGCTTCCCATGAGGTTACTTTGAATGAAATATCCGATGAATCAGAGTTAAAAAATAAATCGTTGGAGATTCAAAAATGCCAAAGTGAGGAAAATGTTTATTTTAATCTGACTGATTTTGTTGAGCGCTTTGAAATGTGTTATTCAAAACCTGTAGTAACTTTAAGTGATAGGGATTCCTTGATAAAGTTTTGTGCAAAGCACATTGTAATAAGTAGTGTTGCTGAAGAAATTTTCAGTTTCCGGAAAGGCCTTAGTGAGTTCGGTGTTATGGATAAACTATGCAAATTTCAAAAGGAAGGTTTAGCAGAGTTAGTTCATTGCAATGTAGAAGTCAGGTGATGTAAAGGAATGTTTTAAACCCTGTTTCTCACCTGTTGGCTCAGATAACCATTCAAGAGAAACTGAAATAGTTTATCACTGGCAACAATTTTTAAAAAAAGCAAAAACTGGTAAATTATCATTAAATGTGCAAGAATGCCCTGATTGGAATCACCCTGATGAGGAAATTGCAATTAATGATTCGTCGACTTTTCAAACACTATCACTCAATGATGTATTGCAGTTTGGTAGTGGCTCACGTTACCCTAAGTTTAAAGTCTTTCTTAAGTCTGATCATGATTGCATTGATGGGCAAAAGAGAATAAATGGCAATACGTGTGCATTGACTATCACTATTCCTGTAAATGAATGGTAGACAAAATACAACACAGATAAATTTGCATTTAACAGTTTGCAAGATGTCTTTGACGATTATGGCTTTGGTCAACGTTAAATAAACATCTCTTATATAAATGACTTGATGTTGACTTGACATGGATAATTGATATTGCTCTTATATAGCTGTATGTAGTAAGTGTTTGTTTAGTTTTGTTTGAGATAGACTAAATTTATTAAACTAAAATAAAATACATTGTTTATACTAAAGACTTATACTGAAATTGAATACACTGGGCAGTAACTTTACGTGCTTAATCAAATTATGTGAGGTGAAACAAATTAAAATTTTAGCTAATAAAATCCATGAAACTTAAGCTTTTAACTTTTTGATCGGGCTACACACAACCTACTGGAACTAATTTGCTTCTTGCTCCACAATAGCAAAACGTACTAGTGTTAGAAAGAGGTCACCACCTTCAACTATTGTTGTTGGATGTGTTAATGCATTATTTTCCATTACATAATGGAAGTATTCTTCCGAAATTCCATACGTTGCTTCATCAGAAAATACTTCTACCTCCACTTCATACAATTTATTGAGTGGCTTTCTGACAAGGCAATCTTGCCATTCTTCCCCTGCTAGTTCAGGAAGGAAGTAGAGGATATCTGGCACACCAGGTACTGTATTTTCATGCGATTTTCTTGTTCTATGAGAGTTTCAGTACTGTCTTGTATTATCAAGATCCTCTTGAATTAAGTCAGCAAAACAAAACCACAAAGCTTCTTTGTGCACTTCACTTCTAGTATTCCTGACTGCACTTGGCCTGCAAAAAAATCAATCCACTAACTAGAACGAAGTTTTCGGAGCGATGACTAAAAACTTTCAATGTTTTGGTTTCTAGGACTTGAAAAAAAAGTGTGAGCTTTAGATCCCGAAAAATCATCATGATGATTCGCACGCAGGTAACATTGCAACGCAGCCATCACCCCATTTTCGGTTCAATGATCCATCAAAAGGCGTATAGGGCACCCTCCCGTTGCTATAACATGGTCAGAAAAACTATGACAACTACATGGGGATTTTTGTTTGATCGTTGTACTTGTAGCCACAATATTCGTCGACTATAGCCATCAACGCAACCATGA